GCTTATAACAAAAGACAAAACTCATACATACATAATACTATTAAATTGTTCCACTCTCAAACATTGCTTGCGCAAATGAGCATCTCATGGAAAGAGAAAGAAATCACACACTTATGTTAGTGAAATTTACTTCCATGGAATACTCATTTAAGCAAGAAACATTAGAAAGAGGAAAAGGGAGATTTATCACTTTTGTCCATGAGTGTTCAGACTTAAGAGAGATGCCTACATTGATATATAAATATATGAGCAACGTGACTCCACAAACTAAGAAGATATTTACTAAAATACCCCTCCTCTCAAACAGGAATACTACCCACCAGACCATGCCATGCTAAAACTGAGACACAGTAGCTAAAGACTTGTACGTAGTAAGTCATGGAATGGCAGCTCAAACATGACTTTTTAACCAACAATCAAACATTCTTCAAAGCTCCTTGTCTTTTCTCAAGCAAACCACATGCCCTGAGGGGATTCATTCCCCACTGTATAGTATATTCAAACAAAGAAACAAACAAGAAAAGCTATTTCTCAATACTTACCCTTTGATTTGTAAGGGGTCAGTCATTCCAGCCTATTCGTGTTGACCTCCATAACGGCATTTGATATTTTCCCCTTCTATGAGCTTCTCTACTGCATCGGTAGGAAGACCCACCAGCTCTAACGTCTTTTCCCACACTCTCTGTGCAGTTTCTGTGTTATGTGCTTCTTCGGAAGGATTTCTAGGGCGGCAATCTTGAGAGATGAATGGGCAAACAGGCCAATCATCTGTTTTTAGTGTTTCCCAGTACTCTGGAATCTGCGGGTCTGTGGCCGAGAATAGAGAACTTCTACAACCTTCTTGGGGTGAAAATATGAAATAAGGTATCAATGCGTAAAGAACTTGAAGAATCCTGGGTATATCCCTGGCCTGTCATATTCGGCAAGGCAATTTTATGCAATCAAGTTCTGAGAAAACAGAATATGTGTCCATCATGCATTTGTAATTAAATGGAGTGAATCTAATACTCACAACATTCGTTAGGACAACACCGGGGGATAAACATATGATGCTAACTCCTGTTTCCAGAGGCAACTTTTTGAAAAGAATGCTACTAAACATTATCTGGAAGATGAAAGGAAACAGATTTCACTCACCACTTTCTGATAATAAAGCACCTTCCAAAACATGAAAGTTGCTTCAGATGAAAAAAACTAAATACCATTACTGTAAGCTCACCTGGGCAAGCTTGCTGCTCGAGTATCCTAAAAGGCTTGAGTACTTACGTCTACCAGAAACAACATTCATGTCATCCGGGTCAACAAAACCAACAGAATGCATCTACAAAAGTCAATCCCACAACCCATTATCTTGCATGAAAAATATTATCAAAGACAATAAATGTAAAATGTTTCAATTTTCATACAAACAGCAATGCCAGAGGTTCACTGAAATGGGGAGTGGCCTAATGCAGGTGGTAGAGTCCAGTCATAGTAGTATATTTTGGGTCAAAACTTTCAACAAGCTTGAGGTTGTTTCATTTCTCTATAATATGCATATGTACTTCAGTGATTTAGGGAGAACATGAACTAGTCATCTATATCTTCTGCAATCAGTTAACAAGACCCGACCTTTTCAATTTACAATAAATACAAACCGATCTGAACTTTTCAACATCATAACTCATACCAAAGAGAACATAAAACTAGATGGCACGAACTTGGAGCCTGCAGAGTAAGTGATCAAAGAACTTACAACGGAATTCACATTAATGATTCGGCTAGGAGAGCCCCGGATCAGAGACGGTAAAAGGAGTACTGAGAGTAGCGCTGGAGCTAAATGATTTACTTGCATGTGATGTTCATATCCATCCTCTGAGAATTTTTGCGCCTCTGCAAAAATTAGAGACCATAGCATTTTAGTTGGTTCCTTTACTCAACATATACTGCAGCAAATGTAGCAATCTCACGACTAATCATATTGAAAAGGAAACCCATCGGACAGAGTTTCATAAAAATAGCAATAATACTAGACTTTTACTTCCAATTCTTAAGAGTCTAGTTTTACAATCATCGCTAGAAATGCCAGCTCTCACCAATTGGATGCTATCAAGTTGGAATATTGATAATGATGAGTGGTGCAAAAGTATGACTTTGAGATCTTCTTAGCATAACAAGCAGATGATGAAGAACGAAGCAGATGATTTATGGCTAAACGGGAAATAAAACCAAAACCAACCTCCCATAGCAAATATGCCGGCATTGTTAATCAGAACATGCAAAGGTCCTAACCGAGCGTTCCAAGCCTCGGCAAATCTCGCGACAGAATCCAGTGAAAGAAGATCAAGTTCCATTGCCTTTAGAAAATCAATCAGAGTATCATCATCAGCAAATCTAGATGCAACAAACCAATACTCTATCTAACATACAAGAAAATGACTCAGAGCCTCAGCCTAAACTAGATCACATATGGTTTGAAGTATCACAGTCCCAGCAATACACAATATTAGCCACATAAACGATAATATATCATGAATATTAGAAGAGAGAGTCCTGTAGCAAAGAATGAGATTACCTCGATATTAAGTGGGAGACCTCTACCAGACCACTCGTTCTGCCATTGCTGTATGAGCTCCTGAGCCACCTTTGTGTTCCTCACAGCCATCACAACATGAGCACCAGCCTCTGCAAGCTGCCTGCAAGCAAAAGAAGCTAAACTCTTAGGGAAGGTTTGAGGGGGATTCGAGTCCCAATTGAAAACCAACTTGGTCGAGTACGAAATAAAACTCGCAATTGATGTAGCGAATCGGGAGAAAAACCTAGCGGTCTCGCGGCCAATGCCGCTGGTGGAGCCAGTGACAACGCAAGTGAGGTCGTTGACGGGAGGAAGAGGGAGAGGGTTCTGCAAATGAGACGCAGTGATCCTCTGGAAGAGAATCTCCTGGAAA